TAATCGACGATGTCATTAACAAGTGGTGGCTGCTTCTTCTTCTTTATTCAATTTCGCAATTACGTTGTTTTTAACTCGTTGTCATAGATCGTAATCACCAATCATGAATTAAGATGGTATTCGATTGAGATCGACATAGTTGACGATAATCGAAAATCATAATAGGTGTTTATGGTTCGAAAATAGTTAACTATTTAGCTGCATATGGTTCGGAAATAGTTAACTATTTAATTTGCTGGCTATGGTTCAAAAATAGCGAACTATGGAGCAACATCACTATAATCACTATGGTTCCAAAATAGTTAACTACTTGCTGCCTATGGTTCAAAAATAGTTAACAGTTAACTATTTACTTATCATGGTTCAAAAATAATTAACTATTTATTGCCATGGCTCGAAAATAATGAACTATGGAGCGACATCACTATGGTTCTAAAATAGTTAACTACTTGCTGTCTATGATTCGAAAATAATTAACTGTCATGATCCGAAAATAGTGAACTATGAAGCGAAATCACTATGATTATAAAATAGTTAACTATTTGTTGGCTCGGTAGTTACAATATAATATTGAGTTACAACATCTGGTAGTAAACACCTATGATTGATGAACAATATATGTAGTGTATTAAAGCGAAGAAATATTCTAAGGATTTTTTTTCTTAAAACTTTCCTTATCCGATTACTCTTTTATTTTATTTTCTTTGAAATTCCTTAGCAAATTTAATAGGGGCAATTTCGTCCGAATGTTTTACCTCTCTGCTAGTCATCTAATTTCTTTTAACCCTACGTTGCTCTCCTAATTATGTCCCTCGAAAATAAATATTAAAGTAATTCACCCTTTATTTTATCAATGCTCATTATACATTGTAAATGTAATAATTTCGAAAACCCCTTAAAAGTTCCGTACCAACTAAACCATTTTATTTTTCGATTGGCATCTAGAGTAATTGACAAAAGAAAAGAAAAAAAACATCATTAGACCTAACCATGAATCATGTAAAATCAATTATCAAGCTAAAAGCTTTTGAAACAAAATGTATCATATAAGCATTTTATTGAAATTATTATTATTATGTGCAATAATACAACTACTATAATCTGGTCCAATATTACCATCTCAAATGCAGCTTTGGCTCATCTGCAGAAACCAACGTTAAGAAAATAAGAAGGAAATATCAGGGGAAGCTTATAGCACAAGGAACCTACTTTTAAGTTCCTTCCATAACAAGAAACAAGACAAAATTCAAAAACGCTTCATATTTTTTGCAGAACACAAACCTGTTTTAGGTTCTTTGCCTGGTTAAAAACACTAGGCCTGCAAAACCAACCACGATCAAGGCACGCATCACCTGAAAATTACGACAATACGACGAAAAGATCTTATCTTTTTTGGGGATATCAATAAGCCTCGAAATGTGTCTTGTGTATATAAACCCTACCTGCCCAACAGATCCTCTTGGACTTTCTGAATCTTCAGGAGTCTCAGCTTTATGTTTCTTTGATCTCTCAATGTTCTTCCACTTGTTGTTGCTATTCATTTTCGCGATACTTCTGCAGCGGAATCCCCTCTGAAAATGTTTTTAGGTAAAGGCAGAATCTTAGAAATATCATATAAAGATTGTAAAACAAAACTACCAAGGCCTCGGCTTTCGTACCTCACCGATGTTTTCCCTGGCAGATTCTTCTGTCTTCTTCTGTGACAAATCCAAATGTCTTGTTCCAAAATCTGTTTTGCAAGACAGATCCTTTGCCTCGTCCGGAAATATCCAGAGACGGGATCCTCGTGCATTCTCAAGTTGAGAATCTTTCAAACGCACAGATTTGTTCGGTTTCTTCTCATCATCCCTTACTTCTACCACCGAGGTCCTTTGTCCCGGCTGCTTACTTAATGAGTCACTTCTTGTAGTGCTCTGTTCAAGACTCTTATCCTCTGTAACTATTGACCTTTCTCTAGTGTTCTGTTCAAGGCTCTTATCCTCTATAACTACTGATTTTTCATCTCTTGAAACTATTGGTACTAAATCATCACATCTCTCTGTTTTATCTATACACACTGACTTCTCCATATCCTCAAAGCTTATCTTCCTTTCTTCCGGTTTCTCAAGATTAACCGCGCTTTTCGGTTGTGACTGCGCCTTAGTTTTCTCCTCTGCATCTTTAAAATCAGTTTGAATCTTGTCTGTCCTGATTTTTGTATCCTGTCAAAAGATCTAGAGGATCTTAATCAAAATAGTTCTTGATTAAAGAGACTCATACTTCAAACCCCCGCAAAAAATACCTGAGTAACTTTGATCTCAAAAGTGCTAATCATTTTCCGCACACTGCTCAGATTTGTCTCTGACATACTCCGCCTCATCGACTTTCGTTTAGGAATTTTTTCCGATTTGATCAAACTGTTATCTTCTTGCTTCACTATCGATACACTCTCGGGCTTCCTAACCTCCGAGAGCTGCTTACTTGAAGAAACATCTGAAGAAGATGGTTGATTTTCCGGCTTCTCAACTGTATCCCTTACTTTAGGCTTCAATATTACAAGACCTGGCGCGGCCGGTTCTCTATGTGCATTAATCTACATCAGGTGGAAAATTCAGCAGTTAAAAGTTGAAATCTTTTGAAATTTGTACAAGCAAAAGCGGTATCAAAGTGACTATTGATCATTACTAGAAGAAGTAATTTGTTAAAAGTTGTTAAGTGGCTTTTAACCTCCAAAAGCTTCTTGCTTGAAGAAACATCTGAAGAAGATAGTTGATTTTTCGTCTTCTCGGCTGTATCCTTTACTTCAGGTTTCCACATTATAAGATTTGACGAAACCGGTTCTCTATCTGCACTAGTCTACATCAGTAGAGAAAAATCAGTAGCTGAAGAGTAACTCTTTCGAAATTTGTATAAGAGGAAGCGGTATCAAAGTGACTATTAATCATACTTGAAGCTCGGTTTCTTGACACAGACCAAGATTTGTCTCTGGATTAGCAACAGCGACGATGTCTCGGGTTTTCAGTAGACTTAAAGAAGACAAATCTCTCATCACATCAAGAGCAAGAAAAGCCGGAAAACAAACAAACATTTAGAAACACAGCTTAACAATGAAAGCAGCAAAGAAATAAAATTCTTATTAACCTGAAGCAATGCTTTTAGACTTGGTAAAAAAGCTGCCACTGACGAGCTCCTCGTGCTTCTTTCTCAATGCAGATTGTCTCTTTCAAAGCAATCAAAACCAATGGACTCATAAAGATTGGAACTTTGCAGAGAACTCTCTATGAAACAGAACATATCAAAAAAAGAATTGGTTACCAGGAAACGTATGCGATTTCGATCTTCTTCGCTGAGAACAAACTGCATTTTCAATTGAACATTTCCATAGCCATTGAATGAAAGCTTCTCTTCCAAAAAGCCACTCTCTATAATCATTCTGGTCTCTATCTCTAACCTCCAAAAACCCCCCAAATTCAGAATTCAAACTCATCTAACAAAACCACCAATCTGATCTCTAAAATAGTTACCTTTGTGTAATATTCTGTTTCCATTGACATCTAACAAAGTAACAATCAAATTTTCTCTGAGCCTTGTAACTGGACTGTGCCACATTGAGTCACACAAAACAAGAAAGTGTCAAACTTTTTTTGTTCAGAATTTAGAAACTTGAAATTCATCAGGATCAAAAGAGAAATTACAAAATGTAGTCTCCTGAATTTGAAGTTTGATACTCGAGCTTCCCCATAGCAACTGGTACAAGACGATAAGCAACTTACAAAATTGAATTTTTCATGTTCGTTGATAAAGAAATTGAAAAGCCATTTGGGAAACAGAATCAAAGTTAAGACCTTTAATGGAAGTGTTTGAAGAAGATGTATGAACATCAGTAAGACCTAGAACTGAGGATTTGAACAAGACAAAATTTCAGTTAGTGCTAAAATGTGTAAAATGGTTATTGAAGTTGCTTCCTTTTATTTTCTGTTACCTGAAACTTGTATAGTTCCTGGCATTTGTCGAAGCTATACACACGAAGGATCAAAAATTTGATTGGTTTACTTTGGGATTTCAAAAAAAATGGAAATTGATTGTTATGGAAGAAGAGGAAGAGTGAGAACAAAAAAAATGGAGGATTAGATGTAGATGGAAATATATGTTTGTGGTTGGAATTTGATTTTGATCCTTTGAATATTGAGAGAATTTAGAGGGACCCATTATTTATTTTCTTGATGAGTTTGATTAATAATTACTCGTAATAACATTCTCTAAATGCCAATTTTATGCTTTTTGCCTCATTCTATCAAAATACATGCTTCAATAGTTAACTAGAATGGTACCCGCTCTGTCCGCAGGAAGAAATAAACATATACAAACGAA